GAACCAGAAAATTGCGGTCTTCGCTGCAAACAGAGTTCATGCCAGGCATAATAAGTTTGTTTAGAAATGAACTATTTTAAGCGGGCTAGGCCACGACATCTCGGAGTGTGTTTTGGAAGGAAAGCAAGTCGTCTGCTCTGAAGAATGGGACTATTATGCTGCTTAGACACTTCAACTACTAATAGCTGCCAGACTAGCCCTTTTTTCGGTATTCTTGCCAGTGTAAAACGGGACTTGTAGTGAGAGAGCGCTTACGACTGACAAATTGATCGGCTGCGTCTTGTGAAAAGCAGATAAGTGCGCACATTAAAAACGGCAAATGACCGCGCGCAATCCGACAGAAGACAACCAAAAAGGCCACGCCGCACTCACCTCAAGAATTTTGATGGCTTGGGGCAGTTGCTTTATCCTAGTTAGATAGGCCGCGTTGAGCAACAAACCTGGCACGCAGTTTGGGTCCTCCTCCAGAACGGCTTTCACTTTGGCACGGCATGCTTCCAGCTAAGGGAAAGAGCAGAGAACAAAGTATGGCACTGAGAAAATTGACGGTTAATGCAAAATAAAATTTACAGAAGGGGACAGGGACGACACGCACCTGACCGGCTTGGAGGTAGAATAGACCCTGGTTGAAGAGCATGGCGGTACGTTGGAATCGGAAGAGTTTGTGCTTCAAGGACTCCACAGCGATTGCCTTGATGCGCTTTTTGGTGTCAAATACGTTTTGCTCGCGGTTGATGCATATGAGATTGTTGGCAGCTACTGCCATGAGGGAGGGATCACCTGACCTAACCGTGGAACAAAACGGAAAAAAATAACTCGTGTCCAGTTCTAGGAGATAAACTAGTACAGATGTCTATGGGGCGCTTAATTTGGACAATAAATTGGTTACTCGTTAAGTAGTATAGTTGATTTTACACCGTTTAATTACCAAGTGCATTGTGCACCGGCTGCATTTACTTGACTCACAGAAGACAAAAAAAACATTTGGCAAATTAATTATAATTGCTTAACTTAGCTGGTGGAGTGATAAGCTAGGCTAGACAATAAGAAGGGTCGGTATGTTTGTTTTTTGGTATGAGGATAAATAGTCTACAGGGTCCTATTGAAGTGCATTTTCTTCCTTAAAGAGGCATCAACGAAAACTTGTGCATCAGTTATTACATGGAAATTATGTCCTTCGAGAAATTTGCTTTGATAAATACGGAATACACTTTTTGAACCTTAAAAGATTACCGACTAATAGTACAGCCTACTTTAGGGCTGACTAGAATCCGCTACGTTAACTAGACACATGCGCGGACGTGTCACAAAGACTATTAACTGATTAGACACAGACACCATCGTCTACAGTTTCTTCGCCTTGTTGGAATAGTTCCGCATGCGACTCAAACAAAAGATACTGTATAGTGGAACGCAAATCAATGTTTCATGAGTTCCGGAATATAGTTGCCGTTTTTCAACGACAATCACAATCACTGCAACTGGGGAAAGGCAGAAATTTAGGAGGAAATTCGGGAAAATGAAACAAAACGAGGACGAACTTTTGACGTATAATTGTGTGGTAGATATCAGCAGCCTCTGTCTCCTTCTTTTGGCATTGCAATACAAATGCGCGTTGTACGCTAGGAAATAGGAAAGGCAACAACTTGGGATGGGTAAGGGCATTAAATCTTGTCGGAAGTCTTTGTAACATTTAAACGACAAGACGAAAATAACAAATGAGTGAGCAGAAGTAGGGAGAGTACAAAATATGAGGGAAAAATCTGATCTACGTATTTAACCTGAGCATAGCTTTGCGGCTCTTTGGAATAAGGTAGTGACGGGCCACTTAAGCAAGTTAAGTAAGTAACCCGCCGAGGGAGTATTTTGACAAAAGCAGAATGATTCTACGCCATACCTTAAACTTCAGACAGATTTCATTCCGGGACCCGGTGAATGAAGATCGGTTCGGCAGTTAAAATGTTATGCCAAAACTTTAAGCTGGTCTGCGGAGCGAACCAAATCTTAGTCGGACTTTAGTGACGCCCGTAATCATGGAAGCAATCTGACTGTTTGAAATTCATTTTTGCTGCAGTTCTACATGTAGACGGAGAAGAGATCGTTGCAGGCCACTGGGAAGGAAGATTTTATCTGCAGGGATACCAACTAACAGAATACAACGACTTCACAACTAAATTTATAAAGTAAATGATAAGCCTCTGTTGGAGGACATCTGTAAATCCGGTTCAATGTGAGTAACTGCAGCTTGATGTGTATAAATGGACTTAATATACCAGACAATGGTGATTGCACATGTCACCCGAAACGACTGGCGACAGAAGAATGAAACGGTCTAGGGGGTCTCACATTTCAAAAAACATTGTTCTTTAGCAAACGGTTTCGTTAAAATTCAATTAAGCACGAACTGTAGCACAAGCAGTGCGAAATTTTACCGTATCGGTGCTGTTTCCTGATCGATTTGGTCTTCTGTGGTATTGGGGTCATCGTTGAAAGAATCGCGACAAAGGTCTAAAGGTAATCAGAAAAAAACGCATATTATCACCCTCGGCTTTTTTTAAGAATTTAAGGGCCTTCGAATATTCTTTTCGGCCAACGTGGTAACAGGCGATGTTAAAGTCAGTTTCGAACAAGGCAGGTTTGTATTCGGGTGACTACAAACAATAAGTCCCGATCTTGAAAGTTACCCGAGTTTTTTGCTGCATTTCAGCTAAGGCGGCAGCTATGGCCACAATATTGGTAAACCTTTCATCTTCATAATCATCCTAAAATTCAAAATCTGCAAACAGAATCTAAACCCACTTTGAAGGTCTTGGTCAGGGTCTTATAACAGTCGTAAGAATTCTCAAACTCTTCCTTGCGGTAAAGCTGAAAAGAATAAAATTTCGAAAAAAGACATACAATTTGAGCTTGAAGTTCAAGAAGGCCAGGGTTCTCAAGACCACTGTTTTTTATTGTTTTCAAGGCGTCGTCCAATCGATTAAGACGGTATTCACAATAAGCCTTCGGCATTACGCATTCACTACAGGAGGAATCGCAAGGTCAATGCAAACTAACCTTAATTTTTTCTTCCGGATGAAGTCCAGACAGTCTTCAAAACGCTCAAGGTGAACTAGCGCGACAGCTTTGCACTTATTAGCATAGTCGTCATCAGGAAAAAGTGCCAGCACTACTCATGAAAATAAAGCAACGAAATTTACCTTTGTCCGCAAAAGATAATATTTTTGAATATGATAGCGACCTGCATGCCTTTTCCAGGTCGTTATGCAGCCCAACTAACTGAGACGCATCTTGCTGATGTGTCATTGGGAGAAAAGCACTACTCAATGCCTATACGTAAACCCGCATTCATTTCAGTGTAATATAACAAAAAACACAAACAATTCGAAACAGATTCGCACATGGATAAATGTCTATATTTCTCAATTATACGCACAGCCATGCATTATGACCTGAT